CGAGGGGCGCGGTCCGTGCGCGCGTACTCATTGGTGATTAGGCTAAATAGCACTAAGTTCAAACTGATGTTTCTGTCAGAGTGCACATGGGCACTGCTGCGGGAGACATGGATGAGCTAAAAACACGTGGAAACACACTAGCTGTTTAATTTTGCCATGTATGTTGGACGAAATTATTCCAAAAATATCTCGAAGTATCTACGAAAAAGACGGATAGAAAAAATAAACGCACAAACCTTCTTTAGAAAAACCGTCCTGCGGATGTTGACAGATAATAATAGATTTCAAATAACCTTAAGCGTAACTAGAAGGCAGAGATTGCTACAAACTTCAGTTGAATTCATGAAGCTTAATGGACATTTTTAAAAGATTTTGAAAATCCGCTTTGTATACTAGTGGATTATGTGTTTAAATGTTAGAACAGAAAATGTTCCTTGACCAATTACCATGACACATAAGGCAGAAATAGTTAACATACAGTTATACATGATACATGAGCACGAGTAATGGTATATTTTTCTTCGTTTAATTGTTTCTCATGACATAATGTAGTAATATGAGTTCCCAATACTATCTTTAATAGGCAATCCGGGATACTGAATCACCACTCGAATCAGAAATGCATTAAGTTAATTTCCAAACTTAATCAACCGCGGACTAGTAATGAATACATTTATAGGCTGCTGCAAAAACACGCAATACTGTTCATTTATTTCAGAACATGTTACACAATGGGCAATACTAACTGAGCAAACAATTTGGTGATTCGTATAAGCATATCACACAGGAAACTTTAAATGATCATTTAAAAATATAAAATTATCAATGCTTTAATCATGTGGCAAGTAAAAGTTGTTAAGTATTAATGGACTTTCCCAAATAGTCTAAAGGAATACAAGTGCTACTTTTGTGGTGAAGTGAGTCCTTATCAATCTTATTTTTGCTCGCTTTAAAACTGAATATCGACTATTTAACTTTCTTTCACTAAAACTATGCTTTCGTTTACGCTTTTTAGTAAATTTAATTAAGATGCACAAAAAAGCAAACCGGCCTTCTGGAAATCAATAATTTTGCGCCTTTTGACTGGGATCATCGGCAATACATGATACATTTCAAACTCTTTCTGTTGGTATTAATTAACAACATAATTTTTAAGACAGCCGGGTAATTTTTTAATTTATGATACTCGCAAACTACCAAATGTGTTGTAGCTAAGGAGGCTGTCTTCTAACATCTGCTGAAGCGGGGAAGGACGCTTTCCGGAATCATGGTCTATGGGTAGTTCCTCGTTCGTGCGTTGCACTGAATCGTTATCAGTAAAGGTATTGGCTGATAGTGATTGTTCCGAAGTTTTGTTCTCAAAAAATACCCTCCAAGTCGATAGTGTTTCTACCGATACTGCATTGTCTCGACTTCCGTGACGGCGTGTTGACTCTGCATAATTGTTATCGTAGACAAGGTAATTATAGTCGTGCATGAGGTGACTTCTAATACAGGCCTGCAGGAGAGGTTGTCCACTATGTCTCCAGAGTTTATTGTAATCACCAAAACTAGCATTTGCTTCATAGGCAATTCGCAGGAGGAAGTCCGTTGCTATTTTCAATGGCTCTCGGAAAATATTTTCATGATCCTCATTGCCCTTGGCTACCTGCTCGAAGAATGTGCGTAAGAGAAATTCCTGGCAGAGCTCCTGGTCGCCAGCTGGACTGTCTATCTTCCCGAAAGAGATGAGCATGCTCTGAATGGATAGTGCTATTCGCAAACACAACGGTGTATCGCAGCTGTCCGCGCGCTTGCCATAAATCAGCCCACTAGGGGTTGGTAAATTATATTTCGACTGCGCCGCGTAGCTGTTATCCGCAGTCTTTACAAATAAATAAAGGATAATCGCGATGGTAGAGGCGATCAGCGCAAAGGCAACAAAAGCCGC